TCCACACCCATGGGCAGGTGATGGCAAGCCACATGGGCACAGCAGAGCCACAAATGGACATCCTCTGCCGTAAAGAGGTGAAGTGAACCTGGAACCCACGCTCTACAGAACATCCAGAACAGGAAGATCCATGGACACCAAGTGTCCTGGTAGCTACAGGGTGGGGACTTTGGGGAGAAGGGGGACTCACTCATACAGGGTCTCGTTATAGTGTGGTGACAGCAGCACGCCCTGGGAACATACCACAAACCAACGAATCACTCACTTTAAGCAAAAGGGTATAGCGTGTAGATTCTGCCTCAGAAAAGCCACTGTTACCAAACGAAAAGTCCTGGAAGAAGAGGAGGCCAGAGCTGAGACAGAGAATGGATGAAGACACCACTGGGTACGGCCTGCACGGAGGCCCCTGTGACAAGGCTGAGGCCAGGGGCCTGCTAAGAGCAGGGCTAGGATGCCTAGTGGGGGCTGCAGGGCAGGGGCTCAGAGTTTTTAAGGTGGAAGAAACTGAAGTACCAGAGATGCTGACAGAACCATCTAGAAACAAGGGCAACCCTGAAGCCACAGGAGAGAGGGACACCCACCCTGCGGCCATGCACTCCAGGGTTCAGGAACACCTGTAGTGGGGAGGTCCACGGGCCCCTTGCAGAGGCCACTCCCATGCCACCCAGGCTGAGCAGAAAGGACGGCTGCACAGGGGCTGACCAGGCAGAAAGGGAGATGCTGGGCTCTGAAGCAGCAGGCAGGGCAGTGGGCAGACACCCAGGAGCAGGCTGTGCTCTCAGGACACATCACTGGCCTAAGCTTCCTCCCCCAGAAGCTGCCTGACCATGTGGGGTCGAGTGGAGCTCTGAAACCACAGCCAGCAGGAGCTTGCTCTTCCTGCTGAGGTACCGAAGGCCAGATACCTCCTTGCCAAGCCACCAGCCACTGCCAGCAGGACAGGCTTGGGCAGCCAGTCCTCCGCAGCCTAGGGTGGAGTAGCAGCAGAAGTCCGATTCAGGAACCAAGAAGAGCTGCAGGGCTCACTAAGGGCAGGTCCACTGCGGCTGTGACAAACTAGGAAGGGCACAGGCAGCCCCAGCCACCACCAGGCCTGTGCAGAACGGGGGATGTGCAGGGCAGTGGGAGAGGCCACCAGTTCTGATAGAGGTCCCAGAGTGCAGTCAAAGCTACTTCAATACCATGTCAGAATGACTTCCCTTCCCACCCTCGCTCTCCCCTACTGAGCAGTGGGTCATCGCAGAGGACTCAGGCTGTGGGTGTCACCACCCCATCAACCTGCAGGTCATCGCAGAGGGGCATGGTGCATAGCAGTGTCACCGTCCTGCCAGCCTACGGATCACTGCTGTGTGTTGGTGTCACTGCCTTGCCAGCCTATGTGGTGTGTCCTCATGCCCTGACATTTCCTCTGCTTCGACGTCCAATGTGGCGAATGCTGGTGGTGACAGCCTATAGGAGCAAGAACTCCTTGGCATCCTCTATGACACTTGAGGGCATGGGGGTTAACTGTGTAAAGACCACTGCAAGGCATTCCCTACAACACTGCCTCTAACACCAAAGCCTCAGAAAAAAATGAAGGTTCCTCAGTGAGGACAGCTCAGGAGACTGCAGCATGGTGTACTGGTGTACTGGGAACATGATAAAGCCAGCAGCAGTGATGAGGAAGCAGAACAAGACATGCCAGTCCCAGGATGTGAAGGGCAAACCATGATCAAAGTGTCCTGCACAGTACTCCAGAGGGTGCCCTCCAGACAGGCAGCACGGCGGACTTGTGAGAGAGAGTCACAAGTCTATCGTATGTTGAGAGGAAAACGGTGTCCACCGCAGGCCAGCAAGGCTGTTTCAGATTCAGACACCTTCCTCCTGGGAACCGTGACCTGGAGAAAGTGGCTAATTCACTGGTCATATATGAGCCTGTGGAGCTAGTTTCTGAGATGATGAAGCCCAAAAAGAAAGAATTCCTTCACTGGCCTCAACAACATCTGAGCACACTCGGCGGCTGGGGTGAGTGTCTCGCAAAGAGTTTCTGAAGTCTAGTATAAACCAGGGAATTAAAATTTCCTTCACTCAAGATTCACTCTCTCAGCTCAGCTCCTATTCCAAAAGCACCACATCCCAAACCTCGACCCAGGAAGGAGGCCCCAGACCAGAAATGACGATTTCCACCTGGTGCCCCAGCATCACCCAGGCACAGAGGGAGACAGCTTCATGCAGTCATAAACCTGGCAGGAACCACAGGTGCTTCCCCGCCTCACCTTCAGATCACAACACGTCTCACAGGATTAACCTATGTACTGTTTACCAAAACAAATGTTCCTTCTAGACACAAACATAATGCAAAATTCCATATAGCCTTAAGAAAAGTGAGAATTCAGACAGAACATGTTGCTAAACACAAGTGAATTAAGTTACCCATTTTAATATCAACAGAGAGAAATATGTGTATATAGCTAAAACCCAACAAAAACGCTAGAACTCAAAATCAAAGATTACTGGAAAGAACGTTTGCACAGCAAAATTATTTTCCTTTGGAGACTAAAATGCCCACCATGCTTAATTTTTCTGACATTTCTGAGGCTATGAAGCCACAGCTAACGGATCTGAATCATCTGAACAAACCATGTTATAGTGACATGTTACTGGAAGGCCTAGAATAGAATGCTAAATATACAGACACACACCCATGCCAGGCACTTTTGCAGAAAATGATCAAACACAAAAGTAGATAAAGTTGACCGTGACAAAGTCCATGACATAGGTGCTCATCTCCAGCAGGTAAGCATAACACACAAGCTCTCAGAAGGTAGAGGAGAGAACACAAAAATAGCCCTCTCTTTTATTAATATGAACCAAAACTAGCCCATGCCTGAACTTAAGTTTAATGACACACTGCACCCAGGCCTGCAGCCGGCAAAGAAACAAAATCCTTCTCCTGAAATCTAACTCGTGCTTGTATCAGTGGTACACATCCATCATACAACTGGCGCTGCACCAAACTGTCCACCTCGGGAAGGGGAGGGAGGGAAGTACGTGGCTCCGCAGCTCCATCTGTGCCACTTGGAGCTGCATTCTGCTTTATTTGGGTTGGCAGTGTAAGCACCAACAGCGGGGTGGCACCGTGGCTGAGACGCTGAACTAGGGCAGCCTTGGCCTGCATCTAGGAGCTGCCAGTGACACTGGGCCCAGGCTCCCTGTCTCCCCAGAGACCAGGCCACCTCAGTTCCCAGATGGGACAGGGGATCATGCGGGAGCGGCACTAGAAGGCAGAGACCTCAGGCACTCAGCATCCTTTTTCTGGCCTTGAAAAGCTTCTCTATATCTTTTTCTTTAATGAATAAGAAACAGAAAGTCCTCATTGGACTTTCAACAGACCCACTCCCCTTACTTAAGAACTAAAGAGACACTAAGTTAAGGGTAAGATGAGGGTACTCTGTCCCGGGGCCTTGCTCCGTCAGCCACAGACAGGGCAAACACCCCAAGCATATGGGGCCAGGGTACAGGGCCCAGAGTAGAGGGCCCAGGATCAAAACTCAGGAACCCAGGTTGGGGTGTGGGGGCCAGGGTTCAGGGGCCTGAGGCTCAAGGCCCCAGTTTGAGGGCTAAGGTTTGGAACTCAGGGGTAGAAGTTTGGGAGGAGGCACTGGAAGATGGGAGCAAGGGACCAGAGTTAGGGGTAGGGTCCCAGGAGAGGATTTGGGGCCAAGAGGTGGGGTTTGAGTTGAGATTTAGGGTTCGGAGTCAGTTAGGCAGCAATGAACAAAGTTTAAAGGCTGGAACTCTGGACTTAGAATTCGGGGTTTGGGAGCCAAGTCCAGAGTCAGTTCTGGGGTTAGGATCTATAGTTATTTTCCAGGGTTGGGGAACCTAAGACAGAGGTTTGAGGCCAAGGTTTCAGCACAAGGGTTCCAGGGTTCAGAGCCAGAGGTCTGGGAATCCAGGATTAGAACAGAATTCAGGAATCAGAGCTAGAGTCGGATTTGAGGTTTGATGCCCTCAGACTAGGTTTCTGGGGTCTGGGTTCCCAGGCTGTGAACAGGGGTCAGAACTGAGATTCAAGGACTAGAGTTTTCCATCAGGATTTGAAAACGGTTTCAGAGGCAAGGTTCTGGGCTTAAGGTTCAGCAGCTAGAGTTTGTGGGCTGCAGTTCAGAGCCCAGGTTTTGGATTCCAGGCTTGAGATCAGGGCAGTGGTCTGGGTCCAGTGCTTGGGCATCAGGGCAGGAGTCTGAGGTTCTGGGCTCAGGGATAGGGTCTGGGGATTTAGGGTCTCTGGGTCCAAGGTCCAGGATTCTGGGCTCATCGGAGTTCAAGACCACAGTCCAGGGTTCAGGGCTCAGAGTTTGGTATTTCAGGCTCAGGGTTAAGGATCACAGTTTAGGGGTCCAGAGCCCAGGGTCTCAAGACCCAGCCTCAGGCAGCATTCTTCCGAACAAGAAAGAATTCCTTCACTTGCTACAACGGGGTCTGAGCATGCTGGGGTGGATGTCCCAGGTCTAGGGTGTGAAGTCTGGGAGCCCAGGTTATGAGGTCTGTGGGTTGTAGGTCCCAAGCTCAGCATGTGAGGTCTGGGGGTCTGGGGTCCAGGTTCAGGCAGGGTCCACGGATTCAGGGTCCCAGGCTTGGAGTGTGAGGTCTGGGGGCCCACAGTCCAGAACTGAGATATGCCAGCTGGGGGTCCCAGACCGGGGGTGTCAGGTCTTAAGTCCCAGGGGTCCAGGGCCAGGCTCGGCAGGTAGGCAGGGCTCAGTACATGGGTCCACGGGTTGACAGGTCCCAGCCTCGAGATGAGAAGTCTCGGGGCCCAGGGTCCGGGACTCAGATCTGCCAGTTGGGGGTCCTAGGGTCGGGGTGTGAGGTCTGGGGGCCCAGGATCCAGGGCCCGGGCTCAGGCAGGGTCTGTGGGTTGGGTGTCCCAGGGTCGGGGTGAGGTCTGGGGATCTGGGGCTCCGGGTCAGGGTCAGGGCCAGGTGCGGGCCCGGCCTGCCGGCGGCGGCACTTACGTCGTCAAACAGTGAGCCCACGTTGGCCGTGACCAGCAGGACCGCCGTGCCCGGGGCGGCCGCCTTCCCTGCCATCGGGCCGGGCGGCGCGGGCGCTGGGCTGGGCGTCGCGGCGCTTCCTCCGGGGCCGACGGGGTCTCGCGGGGCCGCGGCGTCAGCTGCGCCGGGGGGCGGCCCCGGGGCGCATCGCGGGCCGGCAGGTCGGGCCAGGCCTGGCCGGGGCTCCGGCCTCGCGCTCGCTCGCTCGCTGCTCCGCGGTTCCGCGGCCCCGCGCCCGATCGCTCGCCTCCGCCGCGCCTCACAGCGACCCGCGCGCAGCCATTAGCCCCGCCGGGAAAGTTCCCGCAGCCGCCGCCGCCGACTCGGGCTCAGAGCGAGTCCCGCCCCGCGGAGCCGGGCCCGGGCGGGGCCTGCGGGGGCGGGGGGCCTGCACACGGGTGCGGCCTAGGCTGAGCGGAGGGGACCTGGGGGCGGAGCTGTAGTGGGGCGGGGCCTAAACGGGGTTGGGTCTGCACCCGGGCGAGGCGGGGGCCCAGGCTAGACACCGCCTGAAGTGGAAGGAAGCCCGACTGGGGGTAGGGCGTGCGCCTGCGCGGGGCGGAGTTAGAAGATGGGACCGTACTCTCGGGAGCCAGGGAGCAGGGCGGTGGAGGGGGCGTGACTTGAACAGCAGCAGGACCGGACTAGGGGGCTAGGAGGGGCCTGGGCGAGGTAAGGCGGGGCCTGTGCGGAGCCAGAAATCTGGGTGGGGCCTGCTCGGAGAAGTGTGCTCGCAGGCCAGACCAGCAACCCTGGGCGGAGTTTCAGGAAAGGGCGGGGCCTGAGATTGGGGCGGGGCCTAGGGCAGGAAGGGCCTGCTCTGGAGTCTGGTCCGGACCTCTCCCTCTCCACAGGAGCGCTCCTGTCAGTCCGGCAAGCGGGCCGCGGCGGCTGCGCACAGACCCCGCCCTCCGCGCGCCTATGACGTCATGGCCCTCTCCGACAGCCCCTCTTAAAGGGGCCGTGTCCTCGTTTGCCCTAAGGTTCCGACAAGGATTTCGGACTCCTGGCGACCGCCAGGCTTCACTGCGGACAGCCCGTGTGGCTTCGCAGCTCCTGACGCACTCACTCTCGGGCCAGGCGCCTGCAGATGCCACGAGCTGCACCTGTCTCTAGGGGCTATGTGTTTTAAAAGGTGACAAATTAACAGGCAAAGTTAGTCCAGTAAGATGTCTTGTTTAATCCAGCAGGTAGAAACATCATGAAGCGGGTACTAGACTCAGCGAGCAGCGGCCGCGCTGTTGCCCAGGAGCTCACCGCCGGAAGTGCTGGTTCGGTCCTGCGGGCCTGACCTGCCGGCGGGAGGGACTGGGCCCTGCTCCCCAGAACCCGTTTCACCGGGAACCAGCGTCTGCTTCGCGTAGTAGGTGTGAGGGTGGTGAATGCATAAGGGGTAGTTAGGGTTAGTGGTGTCGTCCTTATTCCAGGAGACTCCGGGGAGCTGGAGCCGCCCTACCCCGGCAGGTGGCAAGGTACACAGGAAAGGCGAGCAGCTGTCAGCTAAGCGGGCCGAGCCCACCAGAGGTCAGACCCTGCTAGGCCTGACGCCTCCAGACCTGCGAGGAGTGAGCTGCCCAAGGACTAATACAGTCTCCTATTTTTCTAACAAAAAATTTTTTCTTTCTAACATGCCAAGAATGCTGGTAATAGAAACCCAATGTAGAGGCACCTCCCCTCACACCCTACTCCCTGGCCAAGGTGGGGTGGCTGCCCATGTGCTTCCCGGATCCTTCCCCCAACTCATCTCTTCCTCCTTGCTGCCCCTGTGGTGCCCTGCCCCTGGACACCGCCCTTCTTGGCAGCAGCTAACTCCCTCTTTCCCGGACACTCCCCTGTGTCCTATCCTCTGTGTCCCCTTGCCCAGGGGCCAAGTACATGGCTCTGGCCTCTCCCTTGAGCACCTACTGCTCAGGCCACAGCACCAAGCTTCTTATCACCAGCAACCACACCACAGACTAAGGCAGGCACCTCAACATCCCTCCACTTCCTGCCCTTCAGTTTCAATTCTGTGGGACATTGTGGAACCTCCAATGCCCAGCTGCTCCCATTGCCTCACCAGCCATCTCGCGTGCATGTCCACAGAGATGCGCGAGTGCACACACATGCGCGCGCACAAGTACGGGCAAACACACAAGTGTGTGCACTCACACACGCATGCGTCTGCTTCCTGCCTGCCTCTGCTTCTCCCCAAAGGTAGACTCACTCTGCACCCTCTCCCTCACGGCTCCCTGGCCCCTGCGCTGGCCACCTAGCCCTAGGTCTGAATACCTGAGCCTCTGGCATACTCTGAGCTGCTCCTAAATTAAAAAAACCACAGCATACCCCATTCCCACGCCACTGGCAGCTCTTGGATGTCAGGGCACCAGCTGACAGGCTCCAGGCTCAGCTTTTTGCATGTGCACGCTCACTACTCAAAGGTGTCAACTCACCCCTTCCACCTCCCTCCAAACCACCCACCACCCCTACAAGACCCTTGCCCTTCACTGAGGAAGGGTTTGCAGTCTGGGACCTTCCTGCTGGTCAACCTGAGTAACAGAGAACCTCTTTAAGAGAAAATGATGTCCATTGAGGAATGGACGTCACAGTGGGAATACTTGTGCCACAGCAAATTATACACATTGAGGGACACAAAGAAAGAGATTCTCTAAGGCAGCAGTTCTCAACCTGTAGGTCGTGACTCACGGGAACTGTATTAAAGAGCCGTGGCATTAGGAAGGTTGGGAACCACTGCTCTAAGGTAAAGTGAAGAGGTGGCAGAGGTATTTTGAATCAGTTATCCTTGGTTACTGGGATCAATAACAAGGGTGGTACCAGCCTGTGGGTGGACAGGCAGTCACTAGGCAGATGTCCTCATGGAATTATTTTTTGTGGGAGGTTTTGGTGGCCTTTATGTAGGTCAAGGATCTGCAGAGTTTTTGTAATCATTCTTGTTCTCAGGCAGGATGGCTGAAAACCTGCCCTCCATGGCCATCCCTGGGTCCATTTGTCAGTGGCTTTAATACAAGTGACTGCTTTGATTCTGACAGCTTTCCCACATACCAGGTGGGCTGTCCCACCAGCACCCATACCTCCTCTGCCCTGCTACACAGACTGAGGTGCCTGTCCCTACCTTCAGCCACTCCTCAGGGCCATGCCATCAGCTCACCAGTGTGCCGTGCTGACTCTGACCTCAGGAGGCCCCTTGACCTGGGCCCTCAGTTTTCCACCCCTTTCTCTGCTCCCTTTGCTACACACCTTCTCCCCTCTAGGCCCTCGAATCACACTTCTTGTGTCCACGCCCCCTTGGGCCACCTACACAGGGTTATCACTGGCTTCCTAATTCAGTGGCCAGTGCCCAGCCTGGCCTCAGCTGACCTTCCAGTATGGTTGAGGTTTGCCCTGGTGTCCAAGATGGTCCCGCCCTGCCCCCACCCTCCTGCAGTCCATCACTTGCTCTTCTTCACACTCTGCCTTAACCTCTGTTGTCCTTGGGACTTGGTCCTAGACTTTCTCCTGTGTCCACTTTCTCCTGTGTGAGCTCAATTGGCCCACACCTTATGTCTTGTCAATATGCCTGACCATTGCACCAGCAGCACCCTGTCAGACTCAACATGGAAACAAATTCCTGACAGCCTCCTTTCTCCCATGGATCAAACTTTGGAACACTTGCTTAATAATGCACCAGGCTGTGGCAAGGTCGGGGTCTTGGCAGCTGAGCTTCTCTCTGCTGGCTTGATGGGTCCCCATTGCATAGTCAGGCTGTCTCCTCTCACGTGGGAATGATGCCCTTCTATCCCCTGCTGGCCTGTTGATTTCCTCTCCTCCCCTGCCACACAGTCAGTAGTCTGAGAAAGGGACACTTCAGCCTCATGCAAGCCAGCCAAGCAGAAAGAGCTTGTTAAAGTGAATTGATAACATGACCATTACAGCTCTGGGGCCAGGGATATCCTGTCATTTACATCACTGCCCATTCCTAAAATCCAGGGCAGGAGGGGGCCCTCTTTCCCTTATGTGCCTTTTCTTTTTTGAATGCAGCTGGGCCTCGTCCTCGGTGGGAACCAACCGTCATCAGTCCAATGGTCTTGGATTCCCAGGAGAGAAATTCAGCCCACTCTTTAAACAACAAAATATTGTAAGCTCTTAAAAAGTATAGCACATCAGCCACTAAATACACATCATTAGCTTAAGACAGTAACCAATTTATTTATGAATTCTAGTTTATCAGATGATCAAGAGGTCTACAACTAAGATTACTCATAGATGCCAACAAGCATTTAGAAGTCAGTCTTCAGCAAACACATGCATTGCATTTTGTAGCTGCAAAGTGAATTTCAATCATTTAATCACCAATCTTCAATATTCCTGCCGGGTGAGTCATTTTTTTTCCATCATATAGGGAGACACTGAAGTTGAGTGACTCAAATGATTTTCTGTAGACAGAGAGCTTGGCTAGACACACAGTGACAAGAGCCCAGGGTTCTGTCCTCTGGGAAGGGCCAGGCTTGGTCACTTTTGCCAAAGGTGTTTTGCCATTAGTAAGTTAATGGGGAATTTATGACTTTATCTCAAACTTGTCTAGGAAAAGGAAGTTTTTTTTCCCTTCAGAATTGTTTGAATACTTAATCAGCTTAGAAATAGTTATTTTTCAGGTACCTATTGTGTGTGAGGGATTTACACTTCTTATTTCTTATGAGATATGTATCCCTGTTTTATATATAGGAATACTGAGGCTGTAGGGTTAAGGTGCCTACCAAGCTCATAAGCCTCAGAGGTACAGAAGTGGGAGCAGAGCCCAGCCAGGCCCCTGAGACATCTGGTGCCCCAGGTAGCCTTAACCTCCATGCTGGCATGCATTCATTCATATATTCAATCCGTTCAGACTCCAGATACTTTTCCAGTGCATTCTCTGTGTCATGCACTATTATAGACACCAGGGATAAGATGATAAAGGACAGAAAAAGACCCTGACACCAAGAAGCTGAAATTCTAGCAGGAGGGAGGGGCAAGAAGCTTGTGTAGAGTCATCCATGGCATCGTGCCAGCTTCCTGAACACGTCCTGATAAAGCCACATACTGGCTGTAGGATGTCTGAGAACTTCAGAACGGCACGCAGACGTGATGAGGAGGCACACTCACTCACTCGTAACTTCAGCCCGGGTAAGCTGAGTGCTGCCACCAGTGTGGTGGGGCTCCAGCTTAGCTCTGCAGTGAGCACGCTGATCCTGCCAGACACAGTCTTTATGGATTTTTGTGAAACCCAAATAAGTGCCTTCAGGTGAAACTAAAAACTGTTTCCAAATGTTTCTAGTGCCTGTGTGTTAACAGATACAACAA